AGTGATCTTAGGTAAATTGTCTTGGGTCTGTGGGCTGGCTAGATTTGGTTTAGATTTGAAAAATGGTCCCAGAACACCAATGTTCTGATAACTTAAAGGTATTTCTCCCGTTCTACAAAGGAGCTGGGTTAAGAGGCTCAAAACGTCACCGTAAAGTCCTCCGTGATAATATCCAGGGGATCACCAAGCCAGCAATCCGCCGTCTGGCTCGCCGTGGAGGAGTCAAACGCATCTCTGGTCTCTTCTATGAGGAGACCCGCGGTGTTTTGAAGGTCTTTCTGGAGAACGTCATTCGGGATGCTGTCACCTTTACAGAGCATACAAAGAGGAAGACTGTCACCGCCATGGATGTGGTGTATGCTCTCAAGAGGCAGGGCCGCAAACTGTATGGATTTGGCATAGAATGATTTTGAGTGACATTTTTTTATTTGATTTCTTGTATTAAACTGGATCATCTTAGCTGCTACAGCTCGTCTGATACAAATAACACAATATCAAATTGTTGTTTGGCATATGTGACTTTAAATGTTCATGTGAAAAAATAAAATGTCCCATCACTTTAGCTCTTCTGTCTACAGATTCTGTTTAAGTAAAACAATGTAAAGCCTGACACACAAATTTACAGAATTGCCTCAAATATTTTTTCCATGGCATAAGTACCAGCAACCCTCTGCTCTCTTTATGTATTTAATTTAAGCTTGGACAGGGCAGACTGTGTTGACCCCAGGTTTGTTTTAATGTTAATGTGGTATGACTTTTAACTTATCTTTATGACATCATAAGAAAGTATCATGTATGATTATTAAAATGTGAATAATGCTTTTGTGTCAACTATTTGTCATTTCATTTAAGGTAACGATTTTTATTGAAAAAAAACTTTATATAAAGTAAAGTCTCCCGGATTAGGGTTAGTCTCACCTTTGTTGCCGGCAGCACACATTTAATAAACTACGAATAAAGTTCTGGCAGCTACAGACAGCACCATTTTATTGATCAAAAGTTATCCTGACAGTAAATCAATGTTAAAGGGAAAAGATTGAAAATACTGTAAGCTGCCAGTAATTAACTTTAAATCTACATTCCAACAATATTTCAGTGGTTTACTGTATATGTGCATACAGGATGGGACAGTTTGTAGCACTGTTGCCCCTAAATTTGAGTAGAAAAATAAGTTGATAGCAATTGAAATGAACATTTTTACCCTTAAAATAAGATAATTAGATATTATGCACTTGCATAAGAGATGTGTGTGTGTCCAGGGTGTACCCTAGCCTGACGTAGTCCGACTCAATTCTAGTCAGAATATGAGTCTGATACTGCTCCATAGAGCTGTGATTATGGGGCGTGTTTCGAACGAAC